TAATCATTATTAAAGGCGATCCCACGTCCATGAAGCCCAAGCTCATCCATGCCCTGCGCATACGGAAGCCTTGGTGAAAATTTCTTTAGAGATAAAATTTTTTCAAAATAGTTGGGCCGTGAGAGAATTATACATCTTTGCCCACAAATATTTACTTCACAGATATCTCCATATTTCTTTCGACATTCTTTATAGAATATTTTGATATCAATTCCGAGGTTATGGAGGTTTCCAATTAATGGCAAAGGCAACGGACCAGGGCACGGGTTGGGACGAGTTAAGTATTTATAATAATAGTTAAAGACATAAATCACAGAGAATAGTATTAGATAATCTTTGAAGCTAAGTACTTCAAAAATCTTAATAATTTTTTGAATAAACATTATATTTGAGTTATTTATGATATAAATGGAACAGAATTTAGGTGGACAAAAAATCTTAGATTAGTATATATAGATATTTAAATAAACTCCCAAAAATGTTTAATTTTACTAAAAAATCCAAATTCATTTAAATACCGTCCCACTTACAACATATATATTTAAAAGGCTATATATGTTAGGTAAATGAAGAATTAATACAGAACAGCTCGACAAACAGATTATTATCGGAACATTTTCGAAGTATTTGTGGACGTACACAAAAACCAGAGGTCACTATTAAATTATCCGTAATGTCCTTCGGATAAAAATATATACCAGTACATAGTAATGTTTAATACTAAAAATCTCTATAGAGTAACACAAAAATAGAGCAATGGAAATGGTTCAAAGTGAGCATCCAAATGCAAAATATGCATCATTTACAATATCTTATTGCAAAAACATATATGAATTTTTAAACGTTAATCACTAACATTTTCATATTACAAAATTAATTAGGTTATAAACTCCGTGAATATGCGAAAAAAAAAAGGAATATAAAACACGGATCGATTTATTTCTATGGAGTAGGTGTACACCAAATATAAATTGTATTGCCCAATTGGTTGTGTTGGATTTTTATTTAAAGACATACAGTATATTGCATATTTAGATCAGCGCAGTGTTTAAAATTGGCATGCACAAGATGCACATGTGCACGAGTTTTTTATGAATTTTTAAAAAAATTTATTAAGTGTGCACATAAAATTTTTGAAAAAAGATGTACAAAATACATTTGTGCACGTAATTTTACTTTGAATTTTAGCACTGGATCAGCGTAAATAAATTAGTGTCGCCAAAGAAAAAGGTGCAATTCTAAAAATGGACTATTATGAAATTCATAATAAATCTTTTTTGGGACAGTCGATGTTACACAATTGATCTTTCACCTGCATTGCACGCATGTGGTAATTTATTAGTCGGATGCACCTGGCCATTAGCGCCAGATATTAAACATTATTTAGTGATTTTATTGAGAACGCGCAGTATACATCAGTGCAATTGATGTACAGACTGAGACGGGACAAATTCCCGGAAATAACAATCACGATTGTGCCGGGTATCACCGTCCTCAGCTGAATTCGAGACGTGTAGCAACAGTCGGTGGTTTCCCACACAGCATAACGCAGGCCAACTTTGATATTAAGTTTTTGAAAGATATCACAAACGGCAGGATTCTGCATGGGTGGGAGGGTTTGGGTGCGATTTTTTGCTCCGTATTTGCGCGAAGCCATCGTCACATTCTGTGTGTTGTCTATTTTTATACTCGATCTGTCAATGAGCTCACTTGTTAGTACATACGCGCAATATTCATAGAATTCCCAAAACAGGCATCTGATTAAATTTATACTCATCTGAATTCATATGCTTTATGAGCACAATTATCTTCTCGATTCGGTTAAAATCGAAATACTGGTTTCGGCTGGTACCTCAGTCTGCGCCATTTAGCGAGGCCATGACCGGTGTGTCCCTGCTTAGGGTTAATTTTACTGAAATACCATTTCACAGAAGTCATAATACTGACATCCTATTTTACTAATAAGACTTAATTACGAAAGTCTCATTTTACCGAAATATCATTTAATTGATAATAAATTTTACTGATAAGTCACTTATCTGCAATTTTCATCTCACCGAATATTAAAAGGATGAATGTCTATTTTACTGACATGCCATTTATCCGAATTGTACATTTTTCCGACATTCTATTTCTTTGAAAACATATTATTGAAAGTTCTTTTACTGAAGGATGTCTTACCGAATTTACAGCTATTTTTATAAATTTTGAGTCACCTGATAACCCGAAAGAAGGTATAAACTAATTTGCCGACAACCAGCCATTTCACCGAAAAAGTTAGCCTGATTTAAGTTGAGTTGGCCTGATTTATGCAATTTTGTTCAATCGAGAAGACATCTTGTTGAGAAATTTCTTTTTGAGGAATATCTTTTCGGGGAAATATATCAAAATATTTGTTGGTGAAAAGGCTTCAGAAAAAATTTTTATCTAGAGAACGGGAGTCCGGATAAAGGGTTTTGTCAGTGAAAAAGTCTGTCGAATAAAATTTTTCAGAAATTCGTTGCCGGGGAATTGGTTGTGGCGGAAAAGAAAAAATTCGGTAAAAAATTTCTATCAGTAAAATATACTGTCAGAAATATGTCTTATCGGGAAAAAGAGATATCGGAATTCGTGAAGGTAGGTTTCGGGAAAGTGAGAATCAACGTTGCGAACAGTATTATATTTTTTTTGTGCACAAAAAAATTTTCTATGTGCGGAGCGCACATGCGCACATCGAACTTTATTCACTGACTGCGTGGTGATCGGCAAAATACGCATCTTGCCCATCTATAATTATGTCGCTTACCACCACCCCCTTTGCTATGATTTAATAATTAAATTTAAAAGAACCATTTTAAATGGGAATTTTCCATTATAATAATAACCAAATAATATATTACCAAGTGATGTACAAATTAATGCTACATTTTTCTTATTAAAAGATTATTTATGGTTTAGGGCAAATTATTCGAAATTACGCATTTTAAATTGTTCTAATCGAAGATTAATCTCATGTCATCAAGTGAAATTTTGGGTTACGGGTTAACTTCCCGAAATCAATTTTACTGAAATACTATTAATAATACTGACATCCCATTTTACTAACAAGACATAATTCTGAAAGTCTCATTTTACCGAAATATCATTTAATTGACAATAAATTTTACTGATAAGTCATTTATCTGCAATTTCCATTTCATCTAATATTAAAAAGATGAATATCTATTTTACTGACATGTCATTTTTCCGAATGGTACATTTTTCTGACATTCTATTTCTTCGAAAATATATTACTGAAAGCTCTTTTACCGATGGATGTTTTACCGAATTTACAGCTATTTTTATAAATTCTGGGTCAACTTATAACCCGAAAAAAGGTATAAACTAATTTGCCAACAATCATTTCGTTGATAGCCATTTCACCGACAAAGTTAACTTGGTTTATGTTGAGTTGGCCCGATTTACGCAATTTTGTTCAATCGAGAAGATACCTTGTTGGGAAATTTCTTTTTGAGAAATATCCTTTCGGGAAAACATCTTTTCGGAGAAAACATCCTTTCGAGGAAATATATCAAAATACAGTATATCAAATATTTTGTCAGTGAAAAGGCTTCGGAAAAAATTTTTGTCAGGGGAACAGGGGTTCGGGGAAAGAGTTTTGTCGGTAAAAAAGTCTGTCGAATAAAAAATTTTCAGAAATTCAGGTTGTCGGGGAATTGGTTGTGCCGGGAAAAAAAATTCGGTAAAAAATTTCTATCAGTGAAATATATTGTCAGAAATATGTCTTGTCGGGAAAAAGGGATATCGGAATTATGGAATCGGGGAAATGGTATTTCGGGAAGGTAGGTTTCGGGAAAGTGAGAATTAACGAAGCTATCATCATTCCAATATGCATTGAACGCCTATCTGAACCCATTTATAGCTTAAAGATCTCCTATTTAGCTAATATCTGTTTCAAATCTGGTTCATATAGAGATTACGTGATGCCTTCATTCGACTGGTGAGTATTTAATGGGACTTTAATACCAAATCATAAAATAAAGGTTTTACAATGTCAATTAACAAATTTACTATCGAGAAATTTAGTAAGCTTTTCGAATGCATTGTGAAATAAGAATGAATATTTTTATAACTCGATCATTTTTAAAAATTTATCGATCTGACGAATAAGAATCTCAATTTCATTTACTTTTTTATTTTAAATCCACCTAGTAAGTGGAATTTGAAATTTCTAAATAACAAAGTTGTCTTGGAATACCATTGCAATACGAGTTTATTTGGAATCCACATAATTCGATTTCTACGTACTGCACATTAAAAATTTGCCTCTGATGAAAATTTTAATTTTGAGCTTTAAGGACCGAAAGACGGACTAACCGGTATTACGCTTGGGATTGGGAGAGCAATTGTATGAGACAGATTAGCTTCGGCATAGCACAAGTTATACGGGATGAATGTTTATTAAAAGATTCGGATTTAATGGTAGTTATTAAGGAAAATAGTTTAGTTTATAGATAATGGTTATTATGCAACAAGTAGTGCGTGATATTCTCTTTATTAGTCTGAGCATCATATTTATACAGTTAAGCTTTGGTGAGGTTTTGAACGTCTTAAACCCTTAACGAGGGTCATTATAATAAATGTAATCATGGATCTCATCTATTTATGAAAAATGAGTTATCAATAAAGTCGAGACAAAGTTTAGCGTAGCATCGGACTAATAAACACTATAAAATCGGTCTAAAGGACCGATCCATCTCTAGGCCCACCCATGGTTTTGGTACCGAATTTTAGACACTGGTACGTACATAAGCATATACTGTATTAGATATCATTAGTTGTTAGTAAAAAAAGTTCCGATTACATGCATATTCATTAAAGAGTTTTATATGTTTTATAAAATAGTTTTATAAAAATTTATTTATGTGAATAAATTTTCCCAATTCTGATATAAAATTTATAAGACAAAAATAGATAAAAAAATGTGAGTTAATGCTAAATATAAATATATATAGATTAATTTAAGCATAGGTTTTTTTACAAGCATCACGATTTCTTAAATTAGTAATCCATCTTTTAACATTAGGTCTTTTCTCAAATATATCAGAATATGCTGTGGCAGCGTAGATACCCTGCGCACGCACAGTATGAAGATGATCAGCAAAAGAATATTCTCCACTTAAATAATCTTTTCCTTCCAAAACCTTCTCATAAATATCTAAAACCTTTTCAATTTCTTCAAGTCCTTGCTTAACAACTGCTTCATCCACAGGTCTACCATTCCTTTTATTAAATACTTCTTGATATAAAATTTTTGAAAGTGGTGGATCATAATATGATATTTCGTAAGAGATGTATTGTTCGACTATACTGGCTTTGTTAAGATCGTCAGGGATTAAGACAATATTTGCGTCTTTCTGATATTTAGAAATTAAATATCGACAAATTGCACGAGATTCATGAATTACAAAATCATCATCACAAAGGACTGGAACTTTCCCACTATAATTAATGAATTAATTTTTTTTATTTTTATTTTTATTTAATATTTATTTAAACCAAAGAAATAAATAGATTATATTTACAAAGGGTGCTTATTTGCAAGAAAATCCTCAGTTTTGATGGTTTTAATATCAGTAACAGGCTCGAGTTCGAAAGGAAGACCCAATTCATTAAGAGTTAAAACAACTCTGAGAGTATTTGGCGATTGAGGGAAGCCAATGAGTTTAATAGCCATGTTTTATACTAAATAAGATTGGAAGATTACTTTCATCTCAAAGAAAGCGAAATGGACGTCTATTTAAGTGTTTTTTGACGCACGTACGTACGTAAGTATATTGTTTCCAAACTTTTCCATTCGATTAGTAATCAGTAGAAATAGCATGATATGCATGATACGAGAACTTTATTGTTACAGTTAGACATTGTACTAATGCTAACATAAATCATGTTAAAGTTTTGTTTTGAACAGCACGTAAGACCGGAAAGGAAATTAACCGATGCCGAATTAATATACTGTATTACCATTTTTAAACCATGCAAATTTTAGCGTTATCCGAATTTGAAAATTTATCGATACGGTGTTACTCAAAATTTTTCTTGTCACGTTATCAGATCGGTTTCTAGATTGTTCTGATCGTCCTCATGCGATCACGCTGTAATCGACGTTTGACCATTTCCCTTCGTACCACCTATTTTATTTCTATTTTATATTTATAGATTATCATTTCTTTATTTATACTTTCTATACATGTCATATATTATTTATACTATAACAAGATAAAAGACGCGTGTTCCCCAAACGTTTGATAATGACCGTACGAATACTATTGTCATCTTGACACAAGACAATTCAGCCTTTTTCCTCATTATTCAATTGTTGCATTACCATCGGAAGAGATTCTAAAATTAGACAAGGAATCAGAGTCTAATGGCATTAACAAGGGCAATCAAAAAGCATTTATTCGCTATAAAAACTGCCTGCTTGTCCTTTAAAAGGATTATTATGAACTTTTATAATGAAGTGTATTGAGGAAGATGCATTAAAGGTTTCGGGGATGAGTCTTAAAATAGTATAAAGAAATTTCATTGGTGTTAGAAGAAAAGAGTCTTTGTACTCTTGTATTGTTTGGCAGAAGAGAATTGTACTATAAATTGATTATTGTAATTAATTATATAAAGCAATTATGTATTTAAAGGTCTACTTTTGACCTCAATAAAGTTTCTTCAGACTTTAATCTGTTTAAATAAAAACTCAAACACTTATAAGTTAGTAGGCAATTCAAAGCTGAAGGCAACTTATAAATTCTTTTGTATAATCAGATTCTCATGCTTCTTGTTAGCATTAAGTTAATGCTCATTGTTATTTTACTAGTACATTGTTATCTTGATACATTTTTAATTATTTAAGACTTATATATTGTTTATTATTGCATTGTTGAAATTACTATTTAAATCCCTATTACTGTTTGCCAAATTCCTTAAACATCCTTAATCTTATCTCACATCATTACTCCAAAACATCTCTAATTAGATTCAACTATACTAGCTTGATATCCTTTAATATATACATATTTCTGACTTGTATTGTTTACTGTTCTGTTCTAAACCAGCATATTTACTATTTCCCGCTCACCTGCTAATATTAACAAGTAGTGCAAGTTGTTTGGATTTGAATAATGTATTTCAGATCCACTGTATGAATAATTTAAACAATATTTTAGAAACAATGATGAACACAATCAACAACACTATATCTTTAGCAAAGATTTCCAAGCGAACTATTATCTTATAGAATATTACTCTGATGATTCTTGTATTATTTGCTTTAATCACCAAAATGGTTAATCAATTCAGTTTATCAACTTCTAGAAGTAGTTTAGTTTGGCACAACCAGTTACTTCATATTCACAGATTTCTTTAATCTGTTTTGACATCTTTCTTGATTTTCTAATTAAAAAATTTTCAAAAGCTTTACTAAGAAAGTTTTTCTTCAGTTTTTATTATTATGAACAATCTAACACTTATTTGACTCTGTTAAACAAGTTTTTTACCCTTTATCAAAAAACTAATAGGTTTTTAAAAGACCCTTTTGAAGATGCTTATAACTTTAGTGAAACTTTAGAAGATGACACTATATATGTTTTCAAAATTCTTGATGATATAGCTTAAAGAAACAACAACAACCCTCCCAATCCCAACAACTAGCCTAACCCTATGGTCAACCTTGCTTAGCAAATTAGAGTACTAGTTACTCAGATATAGCAAGTTTCTCCTCCACAAATCAACATCACATCTTCTCAAGTTAGCATTTCCCAAATAAACCTCCCATACAAAATCGAGAGCTAAATCTAATTTCTTACTCTAAGTTTTTAGGTGAAGAGTAAAACCCCATCATTTGATTGGAGAATGTAAAAAAGGCATTTGAGGCCAATCAAGTTCAAGACAATTATAAAATCTTGGTTGTTGTCCCCAAGCTCAAGTGTGCTGCCACTATGTAGTGGATTAGTATTAGAAATCAACTATAGCTAGTTGATCGATAAGATAATAATCAAAATCAGGGCTAAAGCTTTAAGTCTATATTTTAAAACCCCTGTATTAGAAAATAAATAGTTTGCACAACTAACTTAGTATAAACAACTCTTTATTGAAGATGTAAAGATCTGTCACATGGCTATTGAAGAACTTCTGAGAAGAGTAAAAGCTAGTGAACATCATTACCCAGATATTGCTAAGGCTCAAATATTTATCAGTGGCTTGAGACCTGATCTAGCAGTCTTTGTAGCCTTTTTTTTGCTCAGAATCTTGTCTGCTACTCTGGAAAGAGCAAGGCTTTTAAAAATGCTTTTAAGCAAAACTTGGCCCATTTTAATGCCTCTTTTATCACTTCTTTTTATTCTTCCCAGTATGTATCCTCCAAATACCACATTCTGGGCTAAATTCGACAGAGAAAGCAATTATAAAATTGACAGAAGTAGTCAACAGCATGATGAACCAATTGAAGGAAGCCAGAGAACTATCTAGAAGAAACTAGAATAATTAAAACAATAGACTACAGGGCCCTTGTTCTTGTTGTAAACAAAATGGATATTTTACTAGGAATTGCCCCAACCCTCTTAAAAGGGACAACAGAAGAGACACTGTCCAGGAAACAACCCCAAACCAAAACAATAATTGTCAACCCAACCAGATCAACAATAATCTCTAAAATGCCAAAGCCCAAGAGGCCATGCAGCCTTTGTTGAATTTGCTTAATCCAACTCTACTAAAAAATAAGGCTTAGAGGCTTAAAACTTTTTAAATATTCATAAGAAAGCTTCTCTATATAGGATCAATATAGGACTAGAGCAACTCATCCTACTGACTAGGCTTAAGCAGCAGCATACATGAAAAGAGCTTACCCAAAAAAACTTTCTTTCTTAAGTAGCTGGGTCTAGAGTTGACATTAAAAAGTCAGATGAAGCTGTTAAAGGAAAAAAAATTGAGGCTAAGCTCTCAGTTATCTGAAGAAGAAAGACTGAAAATGAGCATCCTCAGATTTTCTTTTCTCATTTTCTTCTATTTGATTGTTGCTAATATGAGAAAAACACCTGTCAACACTACTGTTAGACAATTATTAAAGGCTGTCCCCTCTATAAGGACAGAGTTATCAAAAAGCCTTCAAAAGAAAAAATTGGCTATGAAAAAAAGTTATGCTTTTGGCAATCTACAACTAACCAACAAAGCTTCTGCTCTATACTATAATGCTTTTGTTAATAGAATAGTTATTCCATTAATAGTTGACAGTGGCTCTTGAAAAGCATTGTCACTATCTCCTTTCTCCAAAAAATAGATATAAAGGTCAAGAGACTATTTACTATTAATATGATTAATATACATGGCCAAAGCTATAGAGCTATTGAAGAAATTTCTGATTCTCATTTAAGGTAGAAGGAATAAAAGTTTCTATCGATGTGATAGTTACTAATGTTACTTTATACAAGACCATCATAGGAAATGATTAGCTCTACAAGTTAAATGCTAAAATTGATTATACTGATAAAGCTATGAGTTTTATATGAAAAAATAAACAAGTCATTATTCTTATAGAATTTTGTAAGCTCAAGCATAGCCCCCTTCAAAAAAGTTGTACTTCTAGAATTACTAAGCTATAAGAAGCCTCAGAATCCAAGGAAGAGGAGAATAAGTGTAAATATAAAGAAGAAGACTTGGAAGACCAAATCTTCAATTATTTCAAAAAAGATAAATCTTTAACCTTGGCCCTATCCTTATTTCTCAAACTAGGTTGAGTCTGATTTTGTCTCTCTAGAGAATTGGGGGTCTTCCTAATTTTACCTACCACAACTCTAATCAAAACATTGATGACTTCGACTATAATACTCTACACCCTGAGCGAGATGCCCACAAGGCTTGGTAGAACTTAAATAATTACAATGATTACCAAAAGGACTTCTCTAATATTGACAATCATGACTCAGAGAAAGATTATAATTTTTCTTTGAGAATGCTAAGAAACTCACTTTTGAGTTAGACATTGGTCCACTTGACTCAGAAGACAACAATCAATTAAACTAATTGTTGTCAGAATATGATAATACTTTTGCCTAGACTTCACAAGACTTAGGGTATATCTATTTAGTTACTTACAAAATTTATAACAGTGATGCCACTCCTATAAGACAAAAGCTCTACTGTATCTCTTCTAGAGAGATGAAGTTTCTTGAAGAAGAAATTGGTTGCACACTAAAAGAAGATGTTATACAACTTTCTGATAGTCTATTGGCCCCCCTATTATCTTGGTTAAACAAAAGTATCAACTATC